GAGAATCACAGGCCAATATCCCTGATGAACATAGATGCTAAAATATTAGCAAATTGGATCCAGAAGTATATTAAAAAGATCATGCACCATGACCAAATGGGATTTACTCCAGGGAGGCAAGGCTAGTACAATATTTGCAAATGAATAAATATGATACATCACATAAAAAAATTAAAAGACAAAAATCACATGATCAGTAGATGCAGAAAAGCATTTCACAAAATCCAACACCCATCCTATATAATAAAAGGCTAACATGCAAATAGATCGAATGGAGGAACAACCAAACAACCAGACACTATGACGTGCACTGACCACCAGTGGGCATATGTGGAACATGGCGGGTGTCAGCCATGGCGGGATGGTGAAGCAGGTGAGCAGGGGTGCCAGACCAAGATGGGGCACCAGTCACTGTCACTGGGGCAAGCCCCTGGTGGTTACTGAAAATTCTTTGCTCCCATGCACCTAAGTCCCACCGTCTGGCTCTTACACCTGCTGTCGGCTCCAATTGTTCCTCAGGGCTTCTCCACCTCCCCCTGCACCTAAGCAGCGATTGGGGCAGCAGCTGCCACTCGCACCCACTGACTGCATCAGCCCTTCTTGCAACCGCTGCTGGCGCCGGCCCCAATTTCTCCATGCCATCAGCGGGTCTGAGCAGAACTGGCACTATCAGCATAATGGAGCAGCAGCATTGGGAGTAGAGCTGCCAGCAGACAGGGGACTGGGTCGCAGTGAAGGGGCCAGGGTCGAGGGCACAAAGGATGGGCTAAGACTGGCCCTTGTGCCCACCGAAACCTCACAGCCCATAGTTCCTTTCAAGGTGCATGAATTCGTACACTGGGCCCCTAGTTTTTTATAAAACTCTAATCAAAGTGGGAATAGAGGAATCATATACTTCAATGTAATGAAGACCATATATGACAAGCCTACAGCCAACATCATTCTCAATGGGCAAAACCTAAAACCATTTCTCCTAAGAACAGGAACAAGACAAGTTTTCTTTCAGGCCTTTTTATTCAACATAGAACTAGAAACCTTAGCAACAGCAATCAATTAAGAAGAAAATATAAAAGGCATCCAAATTAGAAAGGAGGAAGTAAAACTTCCTCGCAGGTGACATGATATTGTACATAGAATATCCTAAAGACACCATCAAATATAAGTGTAGCAGGATACAAAATTAACACCCAGAAATTGATGGCATTTTTATACACCAATAATGAATTCTCAGAAAGAGAAACTAAAAAAAAAAAAAAAAAAAAAAAAAATCCCATTTACCACTGTAAGAAAATAATTTAAATATTTAGGAATACACTTACATGACATTGAAAAGAAAAAAGTCAAAGGTCAGAGAATGATGTAAACAAATGGGAGAATATACCATGTTCATGGATTGTTAGAATTAGCATCATTAAAATGTCCATTCTACCCAAGGCAATCTACAGATTCAATGTGATCCCTATTAAAATATCCACGACATATTTCACAGATCTAGAAAAGTACTCAAAAAAATGTATATGGAACCAAAAAAGGCCCCAAATAACCACAGCAATCTTGAGAAAAGAGAACAAAGTTGGAGGGATCACAACACCCGATATGAAGTTATACTATAAAGCCACTGTGATCCAAAGAGCCTGGTTCTGGCACAAGAACAGGCATATAAATCAACTAGAGGCTCAGTGCATGAAATTTTTGCATGGGTAGGGTCCCTAGAGGCTGTTGGCTGCCCACCAGGGACTTCTTTCCCTGGCTGCTGGCTGCTGGTGGGAGTATTCTTCCATTCTGCACCACTCCCTGGTGGTCAGTGCACATCATAGTGAGCAATCGAACTCCCAGTCGGTTGAACTCCCAAAGAAACACTTTGCATATTAGGCTTTTATATAGATTAGATAGATAGATAGATAGATAGATAGATAGATAGATAGATAGAAAGAACAGGACCCAGGAATCAACCCAAGCCATTACCCTCGACTAATATTTGACAAAAGAGTCCTAGCTGGGTTGGCTCAGTAGATAAAGCATCAGCCTGAGAATTGAAGGGTCCCAAGTTGGATTCCTGTTGGGCAAATGCCTGGGTTTTAGGCTCAATGCCAAAGGGGGCATGCAGGAGGCAGCTGATCAATGATTCTCTCATCAATGATGTTTCTAACTCTCTCTCTCCCTTTCCCTTCCTCTCTTAAATTAATAAAAATATATTTTTAAAAAATATTTGACAAAGGATGCAAGAGCATACAATGGAGTCAAGACAGTTTCTTCAACATGGAAGCATTAAACAGAGTAAGGAATCTGGGACGGAAGGCGGTGGATGGTGGGTGGGTGGGAGGTAATAAATAAATAGGAATAAAAACAAAACAAAAATACAGTCCCTTCCTTAGTGGTTTTGGGAAAATTGGACATGTACATGACAAAAAAATGAAACCAGACCACCAACTTGCACAATACACAAGAATAAATTCAAAATGGATAAAAGACTTAATTGTAAGTCATGGAATCATAAAAATCCCAGAAGAAAATCTAGGTAGTAAAATTTCAGACATCCCTTGTAGCAATATGTTTGCTGATACATCTCCTAGAGCAGTGGTTTGCAAATTGCGGCTCACAAACCACATGGGGTTCTTTGGCCCCTTGAGTTTTTAGCAAAGGCCAGCTTAGGAGTACCCTAATTAAGTTAATAACAATGTACCTACCTATATAGTTTAAGTAAAATTTTGGTTTTCAAAAGAAATTTCAATTGTTGTACTGTTGATATTTGGATCTGTTGACTAATGAGTTTGCTGACCAATGTCCTAGGGCAAGGGAAACAAAGGAGAAAATAAACAAATGGGACTACATCAAAATAAAATAAAAAGTTTGCACAGCAAAATATACCATAAGCAAAATGAAAAGGGAGCCCATGGTATGGGAGAACGTATTTGCCAATGTTACATCTGATAAGGGGTTAATATCCAAAATATATAAGGGACTCATGCAACTTAACAAAAGGAAGATGAACAACCCAATAAAAAAGTGGGCAAAGGACCTAACTAGACATTACTCCAAAGTGTACATAGAAATGGCCAAGAGACATATGAAAAAATGTTCAAAGTCACTAATCATCAGAGAGATGCAAATTCAAATGACAATGAGGTATCACTCACACCTGTCAGAATGGCTGCCATCAACAAATCAACAAATGACAAGTGCTTGAGAATGTGGAGAAAAGGGAACCTTAGTATGTTGCTGGTGAAAATGCAGGCTTGTGCAGCCATTATGAAAAACAGTATTGAGTTTTCTCAAAATTAAATATGAAACTGCCATTTGACCCAGTGATTCCACTTCTAGGAATATAGCCTTAAGAAACTTGAAAGAATATATGCACCCCTATATTCATAGCAGTGCAATTTACAATAGCTAAGATCTGGTAAGAGCCCTAGTACCCATCAGTAGATGAGATGATTAAAAAAAAAAAAAAAAGCTGTGGGCCATATACACCATGGAATACTATCTATGTGAGAGAGTATGGATAGACCTGGAGAGTAAATGAAATAAGCCAGTCAGAGAAAGACCTCACTCATATGTGGAATCTAAAAAACCAAATAAACTGATGAACAAAACGGATTTAGAGACATAAAAATGTGAAACAGAATGATGAATCTCAGAGGAAAGGCAGGGGAGGGGTGAATGGGAAGAGATTAACCGAAGAACTTATAAGCATACTAGAGGCCCAGTGCACAAAATTCATGCACTGTGGGCAGATAGGGAGAATGTCCCTCAGCCCAGCCTGCACCCTCACCCAATCCAGCTTAAATCGGCAGTCAGATATCCCTCTCACAATCCAGGACTGCTGGCTCCCAACAGCTCGCCTGCCTGCCAGCCTGATCACCCCCTAACCACTCCCCTGCCAGCCTGATCAACACCTAACTGCTTCCCTGCCTGCCTGTCCCCAACTGCCCTCACCTGCTAGCCCAATAACCCCCAACTGCCTTCCCCTGCTGGCCCAGTCACCCCTAACTGCCCTCCCTGCAGGCCTGGTTGCCCCCAACTGTCCTCTCCTGCCGGCCATCTTGTGGCAGCCATCTTTGACCACATGAGGGCGGCCATCTTGTGTGAGGGTTTGAGGGTCAATTTACATATTACCTCTTTATTAGATAGAATGTACATAACTCATGGACACAGACAATAGTGTGCTGAAGGCCTGAGGTAGTGTGGGGGGAGAGGGAGAGAGCAGGCTAGAAGGGGTCAATGTGGGGGTGGGGAGACATTTATATACTTTCAACAATAAATATAAATTTTTTTTAATTGACCTGCTGCCCTCCCATATTGGAGTAATGACTAGACCAACCATTTACTAAGCATATAGACAACCATTTACTACCTCAAGGACTGACACAGCCAAAACCCTCCTTTGCCTTTACAGTCACAATTCTTAGTCTGAATCTCTGTGTGATTGAGGTTAAATAGCAACTTTAGAACCACTCAGTGGCTACAAAAGTGGCTCCCATGTATGGCCCTTCCCCGGTCACTTAAGGAGATCTTTTTTATTGTTTTTAATACTTGACAATTTTATTGGTAAGAAAAAAAAAAAATGTCCTCTGGAGTGACAGCAGTGTTTGTCCTGTTTCCCCCTACCCAGAGTTCCCCACACACATACACACACATGCATACACACACACACCAAAATAAATAGCAATGGGGCCGACACACATGGGAACATGCTATCCAAGAGGACAGGATTCCATGTGGCGACCTGGATGAGGCATGGAGGATGCTACTTCTCCATCTTGCTGTTTCCTAACTTTGGGTGGGGGCAGGTGTTGAGGACCTGGGAGATTTGGGGAGACATTCATACCCACATACACACACATCCCAGTAGCAAGGCCTCCCAGATTTGGGGTTGAGGAGAGGTAGGCTGGGAAGGGAGGCTGGGGCCTTTGGCTCCCCAAAGCTTATGGGCAGGGCTTCCAGAGAACAAGTTCATCCATGGATCCATCTCTCTCGATTTGAATATCCAAGGTGCCCCATTAGGGCACGGAATGTCTGACTGCGCTCTTCTTGGTGTTACTTTCCTTATGATATCTTGAGTAGCGTCTGAGGATCCGCATTGTATTCATACTGGTGTCACTCTCCTCCGGCATCAGCTGGGGCACTGGCTCTTCCATCTTGCTTCCATCCACCAGACGTTGGAGGATTCCCGCCCCAAAGGCGTCACCTTCCACGTTGATGACCGTACAGGTCCGGTCCACTAGCCAGTCCACAGCCAGGATCAGGGAGAGGTCCACTGGCAGGTTGACTGCCTCGAGGATGATGGCCAGAGTGAGGACACCTCCAGCAGGGACCCCCGCGGTGCCCACGCTGGAGGCGGTGGCCGTGATCACGATGGTGATGATCATGGCTACATCCAAGGGCCTCTGGTTGATCTGGGCGATGAACACCGCGGCCACACACTGGAAGAGGGCGGCTCCGTCCATGTTGACCGTGGCCCCGATGGGCAGGATGAAGCGGCAGATGTTCTTGGAGATGCCGTTCCTCTCCACGCACTGGATGGTCAGCGGCAACGTGGCGGAGCTGGAGGATGTGGCGAAGGCGGTGGCCAGCGCTGTCAGAAGGCCGCACAGGAAGCGGTAGGGGTTCTTCCTGGTGAGGAGGAAGTACAGGAAGGGCAGCACCAGGGTCCCGTGGATGAGGTGGCCCAGGAGGATGCAGAGGAGGTATTTGCCCACACTGGAGAAGAGCTGCGTCACCTCCTCCATCTCGACGATCTTGCTGGCCACCAGGAACAGGATGCCCACCGGGGCGTACCACAAGATCCAGGAGACCATCACCATGGTGGCGTCGTTGAAGGAGCTGAAGAAGTTGATGACGACCTCCCCATCCGGCCCCAGCATCCGCAGGCACACGCCGAAGGCGATGGAGAACACCACCAGGCCCAGGATGTTCATGCTTTCCACCTGGCGCCCCACGGGCACCTTCATCGTGGTGCCGTGGAAGTCCTTGTCTTCGTAGTAGGTCGCGTACGAGCGGAAGGTGGCCGTCACCAGGTTGGAGGGGAAGAAATTCCTCAGGAGATCCAGGATGGAATCCAGCACGGACTTGCCCACGTCCTGCGTGGCGGCGGAGGCGTTGGTTTGCGTCCCGGCCAGGTCGGCGCCGGGCTGCACAATCACGGCCAGGCCGATGCCCAGGATGCTCCCGAGCATCGTGGACGTCAGGAAGAAGAGCAGCGCGATGGAGCCCAGGCGGCCGAGCGCGCCGGGGTCCAGGCTGGCGCTGCCGCTGATGAGGCTGCACACCACCAGCGGCAGGATGACCAGGCGCAGCATGCGGAGCAGCAGCTCCCCGGGGAAGGCGAAGGCCGCCAGGTGCGAGGGGCCCAAGGCGGCCGCGCCGCCCTGGGTGGACAGCGCCAGCCCCAGCAGCACGCCGCCCAGCACGCACAGCATGGTCATCAGCAGCAGCAGGTTGGTGCGCAGGCAGTTGAGCACCGGGTTGCCGGGAGGGCGGCTGCTGCTTCTCGCCCTGCCTGACCTCCGCCGGGGCGGGGGCTCCATCTCTCTAGGCCCTTCGGGGGCTTCCCCCGGCGGGGGCGGGTCGGCCATCGCGGGGACCGGCCCAGGGCTTTCTCAGCGCCTCGCCTCGGAGCAGAGAGAGAGCCGGGCGCCTGCCTAGGCCGAGGGCCCTGAGAGCCCAGAGTGGCCTAGCAGCCGGGGGACTGGGGTTCCGAGGACTGTGAGCTCAGGGCGCCGCGTTCCAGGCCGTTGGAGAGCCGCTCCCGAGGGGATGGGCAGCGCCCCGGTTTCCAGTTTCCGGTTTCCGGGTCCTGGGAGTGAGAAGGCGGGAGTGTCTCACGCTGGGGCCTGGGGTCCTGGGAGTTGCTGGCAGCGCAGATTCCCTGATGGGCGCCTGGATCCCGGGTCCGGGAGGCGGGACCTGGGGTGCCTGGGTCCTGGAAGCAGAGGGCTCGGGAGTCTACGTGTGGGGGCTTTCAAGGGAGCTCCAGCCGAAACCGGTTTGGCTCAGAGGCTAGAGCGTCGGGCCTGCGGACTCAGGGGCCCCCGGGTTTGATTCCCATCAGGGGGCATGTACCTTGGTTGCGGGCACATCCCCAGTAGGGGGTGTGCAGGAGGCAGCTGATCAATGATTCTCTCTCATCAATGTTTCTAACTATCCATCTCCCTTCCTCTCTGTAAAAAATCAATAAAAAAAAAATATATATATATATATATATATATATATATATTATTATTATTATTATTATTATTATTTATTTTTTTTAAAGAAAGAAAAGAAAGGTCTCTTAGTTCCAGGCCAGTGCTTCTCAAAGTCAAACTACATACAAATCACATGGGACTGGGTGGAATCCAAGAGTCATTATATGACAAGTACCCAGGCTATGCGGATACGGCTCATCCTGTACTGCTGATGAACCAGACCCCTGATGTGTGGTGCTTATTGCTCAGGAGAGCGGTGAGGAGCCTAAGAACGGGACAGGTGTACGCAGACGTGGTTGGGGAAGCAGTGGTCACTTTCAGAGAGGAAGAGGGGAAAGTGCTGAAAAGATCTGACCTGTCAGGGGCCCTCGAGCCCTGGGGCAGAGAGGGGAGTGCAGAAGGCTCTGCTGGTCTACATCAAGATCAGAAGTCAGGAGGAGCCGCACAGAAGGATTCTCAGTGAGGATAATCAGGAGAGCTTTTCACAATCTAGAAAGTTCATGCTGGACTTCCCTGGATACTTTATGCACTAGCACTGACATATTTTTTTTTAATTTTATTAATTATGGTATCACATAATTGACCTCATACCCCCATTCCCATCCCAAACCCTCCCACATATGTCCCCACCCTCCTATTGTCCATGGCCACTGGGTAGGCCCATATGCATGCACTCAAGTCCTTCGGTTGATCTTTCCCTCTTACCCCCACCTCCCCTACTTTCCCTCTGAGGTTTGAGAGTCTGATCGCTGCTTCTCTTTCTCTGGGTCTGTTTTTGTTCATCAATTTATGTTGTTCATTATTTCCTCTAGATGTATGAGATCATGTGATCCAAGAAATACCCTTGTAAGAAACGAAACTGAGACAAGCCATAATGGTTATGCTGAGAGGCAAATGAATCAGTCTGTAGTGAGTTCCTTTGTGGGCCAACAATTCTTTTGAGTCCCATAGAAGGATTCTCAATGGGGATAATCAGGAGAGCTTTTCCCAATCTAGAAAGTTCATGCTGGACTTCCCTGGATAGTTTATGCACTAGCACTGACATAATGTTGTATAAAGCCAGGTCTCACACCCTCAATTCTGTTTAGAGTAGTTTCTTCTTGTTTTTTCTAACTGTGAGCCCAGCAGCTGGATGTTTAAACTCTGAGCCCAGCAGCTGGATGTTTAAACTCTGGCCCTGGAAGATTTTTTTAAAGATTTTTTTCCCTCCCCAGGAACTGTGGCTCAGTGGTTGAGTGTCGACCTATAAACCAGGAGGTCGTGGTTTGATGCCCGGGTTGTAGGTCATGCAGGAGGTAGCCCCTCAATGATTCTCTCTCATCATTGCTGTTTCTATGTCCCTCTCCCGTCCTCTCCGAAATCAAGAAAATATATTAAAAGAAAAAAAAAATCTTTTTTTTTTTCAGTACCCCAGAAGTAACCAACTCAAATATATTCCCAAAGATTTGAGATGGAAGGACTGTACTCTTGTAGGTCTTATGATAGTTTTAGGGTGACATTGTTGACAGTGCCTCGTGGGGAGATGTCAAAGATTACTTCCTGAAATGCAAAGTGTAACAATCCCATCATAGTTGATGGGTAGGGTTCCAAAAACGGGGTGCAGAGAAACAGAAATTAGGCAAGGGTTTCCTGCAGAGCCCAGGATCCAAACTCTTTTTCAGCCCCTTGAAAAGACAGCGGGGACCCAAAATAGAAATGAAGCTCGCTGGGGCTGACTTGACTCAGAGCTGAGGGCTTAACTGCTGACATGTGTTTTTACGGACATGGCTGCTAATGGAAACAGCTTCAGGCAAATGACAGCGCCCAAGGTTCTCGTGTGACCCCTGCACGAGTTTTGGAGGAACGTGACTTTACCAAAAACAATAAATGAAGTCCTGCGGACGTCCATATGCTTCAGGCAAGTTCAAGGAACTATTTTGTTGGCCTGAGACCAGGAGTGGGAAACAAATAGCAGGCGTAATTAATTTTTAAGATGTGGTCAACATTATAAAATGAAAATTGATAATAGCTGCTCAAATCTGGCATCTGCATACAAAAACAAATTATAGTTCACCATACAAGTCACAGTTTGTATATCGGATTACTTAATTTTTCAGTAGAAGTGTGTCGACAGGCATTTTCTTCACAATAGGCAGTCGAATGGCGAACGGTTGATCCCCAGAGAAATAAGGGATCCGTCTGCAGACAAGCAACGGCCTGTGGCTACCGAATACACTGTTGATTCAGCCTCAGAGCCACACTTTCCGATGAACGGGACTCATGCGTAGAGATGGATACAGAGGATACAAACATGGCTGCCACAGCTCATCGGGTACATACATTGTGTTCCTTGTTCCTAAGTGTTTGGAGAGATTTAGCTCCCCCTGTAGTGTTCAGAGAGAGTTAAATGCCGCCGGACCATTAAGCTCTGCCCAGTGGGGCAATGATTTTCACACGCAGCTCGTCTGTAGAGGATGTGTTTCCATCGTTCCCGGGAAACCTTGTGTGGAATGTAAATGCATGCTTAAGGACACACCAAGGAGGGAAGTGGTACTGAGTAGTTTCCACATCAACATTGCACGGTGTCTTAGGAAGCAAAGGGAGTGTAGAGACAGACATAAGCCCTGGAGGTTTTATTCCCGGCTGAAATCCGGGTTCACCGTGCCGGAACAAGGCGGTGAGAAGCTCGGGTGTGGCAAACTGGGCCACTGTGGGCCTACCCTAGGGACAGTGCCGTGCACCGCACCCCAAATGACACTTGGCAGCTCTCATCAAAGAGAACGTAGGCGCCCTCACTTTATGGGGAAACAGCGAGGCCTCATGAGGGGAGATGGAAGGAGAACTAGCCCACACACTGTTTATGAAACACTTGATTTACGCCCTCGTGGCACTGACTTGGCATCCTCTCGAGGGAAAGACTTGCTTCCTGGTTTGCGATCATCTGTGAAGGAAGTCATAACGAGCCAGGCTCGAGGTGTCGGGGAAGAGGGGACACAGGACTTGAGAAGGATACGCTCGTGATCCTTTCTTCCTTCTCCCCTCGCATCCCCCCCCCCCCCCCCCGTGTGTTGCCCGGGGACCCTCATCTGGGCCTCGTTAGCCATCCAGCCACGCAGCATCTGGTTGAGGTAGCAGTGGAGGTGCTGCCTGCCTTCCTTTCCTCCTCCCCCCCCCCCCCCCTGGTTCCCCCGAGGCCTATTGCCAGCTCTCCTGGGCGTGGCCGCTGGGGACACGTCATTTGGCCATCCCCAGACAGGGTGATTCTCTGTCCTTTGTCCACAGGCCATGTGATCTGGATGTAAGAGATGTGAACGTGTGTATTTTAGGCATTCGCCTGGGATGGCGCCCTTCTAATCTGGGAAAATTCAGAACCATTGCCAAGGAGGTTACTTCAAGTGACGCTTGGAACCCATGTCCAACTCCGGGTTATGGACAGGTCAGCCTGGGGAGGGCAGGTGAGGCAGGAAGGTGGCGACGAGCAGTGATGCCGTTTCCACTTAAAAAAGAAGGGCTGTGTGGGGTAAAAGCCAGGGGAGAAGAGGATGGTGCCCCCAAAATCACCACCAGAGGCTGAAAATGCTTGAGGTCCTGTGACGAGATAGAGCTCTCCTCACTCCTCAGGTCCCTCCTCGCGAAAAGGCGGAGGCCTGCTTCACACTCAACCCCTGCTCTTGGGCTCTGTCATGTGTCACGGCAGGCAGCCACAAGACACTTGTTATTTATTGTTCCTTATCATTAAAACGCCACATAGCGGTGACACTCTCAGGCCAGTGTCAACCTCTCCGGCCCTTTCTACTAGCAGCATCTGTCGTAAAATACATCAGGAGGGGCCCCTCCTATTTTGGGAAGTGGGGGCACTGGCTCTCAACTCCAGCCTGGGGACTGACACCTACCGGCTGTGGGATGTTGGACAAGCCCTTTCCCCTTTCCCCTACCCGCACCATCTCCTGGTCTCCAGGGGAAAGGTGAGAAGAGAGTTATCGTTGGATTAAACCAGTGGCCGGCAAACTCATTAGTCAACAGAGCCAAGTTATCAACAGTACAACGATTGAAATTTTTTTGAGAGCCAAATTTTTAAAATTTAAACTTCTTCTAACACCGCTTCTTCAACATAGACTCGCCTAGGCCGTGGTATTTTGTGGAAGAGCCACACTCAAGAGGCCAAAGCGCCACATGTGGCTCGTGAGCCGCAGTTTGCCTACCACGGGATTAATTAGTATAAAGCACTCCCACAGTGACTGGCCTGGACTCAATGCTCAATTCAATCAACACTCCTTGTACCGTTACCAAGGCGGGTGCACAGTGTGTGCTTCGGGTAACCTTGGAGAAGTCTCGTCCTGGGCTTTGAGTCGATTAGGGCGTTTGCACCTATTAATATAAGCCTAGGCTGTGCTCATGGCCTCCAGCTC